ATCGCTGCTCAGGGCGGGCCAAACCACAACAGCTACGTCGCCGACCTGATTCACCTTTGCAGCCTGCTGCATGCACTTGCACTGCAGCATCTCCGAAAGGACCAGGATTTGGACAATTTGGTGACAGCCAGCGAGCGCATTCGTCTGCGGCTGAGCTGGTTGGAATGTTTGACAACTTATCTGGCTGTGGGTCAAAACCAAGGGTACCATTTTGGGGTAGGTGCACCCTTCATTTTAGTCTATTTTTAGTGGGGATTGGGACGTTCACTGGGGGTACGATTTGGATTTTGACCCATGGCCATGTCCAGCTTGCGTGACCGGGAAGGCTGATCCTTGCTGTGCTAAGGCGCCCCGGCCTTGCAGAAAAGCCAGTCCATGATTTCGGAGTGGTCCGGAGTCTCAGTGGGACAAGAGCAGCTGTCAGCCTTTTGCTGGGCATACATCGGGATGCGGGAAGCAGCAAAACACATTAGTGGCAGACGGAGGGAGCATAGGAGTCGGGGGCGACTGTTGCGGCAAAGCGACAGAGTGGAATGATGTTTCTCACATTTGCACTGTAGAAAAGCAGATGCTGAGCGGGGCTTGATGCTCCTAGGGCAGGATTTGATCGTGTGGTGGATGCTCATCCTCACACACCAAAAACACACGAGATCGACACTTTTCAGCTTTGCAGCTTGGAGATTCCGACCTCTGCCCCTTCTCAAGGTGAGTGGCAAGTTGTGGTAGGATGAATGAATTTGTTGGCATGAGGCGCAAGCTGTGGGAAGGACCATCGTTGTTTCACACACCTTCCATTGAGAGGGCGCATTGGAACGGCAGTTGCCACCACATTCCGACCAGGTCGATCTTCTCTCCAGAGCACATTTCGGAGTCGCACAGGGCGGCGAAACTTCCCGTGATCGGTGGTCTGGAGCTCGAGGACTGAGGTTGCAGCGTTGCCAACGCTCGGGGCCAGCTGAAATGGGCGATGGCGCCTTGCGCGAAGTGGGTATGGGTCAAAATGAAACCACCAAGAAACCGCAGGTTTTAGTCTTTGGTTTCATTTACCAGGATTCCCAAAGCGGCTACCTATTTTTGACCCACAGCCTTGCGTGCCAATCGACAGACGATTGACCAGGAAAGGGAAGCTCTTGGAGCGGATACCGTCGGACGGCCGCTGCCCACCGATGCTCGCATCGCCATGGCGAGCAGCTTAATGCGATGAGGGCCAATGGACATGTCAGCTGGCAGGATGCACCAACCTGTTGCTCACTGCAATTTGCGGTCATTCATGGTGGAGCTGCACGATCAGTAGTGTCAAGTGTGCTCACTTTGGGATTGGAGATAGTGGAGTTATATTGGTCAATAGAAAACCAATTACCTGGCGAATCTGCGGGTCAATTTGCACAGGTGGAGGGCTGGTTCATGCGCCGGATGATTGCGAGACAAAAGTACGAGCAAGGCTTCGACTTGCGTTGATGAGGGAGAGAATGCAAGCTACGGCACGACGTGCTGCATACTTTGCCGTTGGCTGTTGTTTGTTCTTAAAATGTTGAGCAAACTGTGCTTTCTCAAACATGTGCTTGTTCCAGCATGTCCAAGTCGGTACCTTGCTGCAAAGCAATTTGTAGCGCAAGCGACAAAGCAGATGAAGCAGCTTATGCTCAGCGCAGGCGATACCTCGGCGACTGCGCCGCCCATTTTAAGTCGACTTTACCAGGCGCCGCATCGCTGCAACTGCAAGATCAGCATGCAAACGTCAAATCCAAAAGTTTATTTTCGCTACCCAACCTCAATTCGGTGCGCTACACCTGATGTGTTTGCTTGCTAGCACGTGACGTAGGGGTGTGCGTGTGTGCTTGGCGTGCTTGATGTTCGCATGTTTCGTGCTCCATGGCAAACTAAATTATCGTGCAGCCCAAACTATTCACATATGATATGTGCTAATTCGCATACTATGTGCATACAACCGTGCGTGTGTTTCTTTGTGTGCATTCGTGTGTGTTTGCTTGCAGGTGTCTTTTCTTTTCTTTTTTACAGGTGTGTGTGTGTGTGGGTGGGCTGTTTTTGGTTGTGAGTGTAGTGCACGTGCGAGGGACAGAGTGACTCAGCCAGCGAGTGAGCAAGCGGGCGAGCGCAGTGTGATCGCGGATGTGCGTGTGTGTGTGTGTGTATTGTTTTTTAGCAGTGCTGCCCACAGTGGCTTACGTGTGTGTGTGTGTGTGAACCACCTGAATCAAGGTTCCGCCATTGCCACTTCGCTTGCAAGGAAGCAACTTGGGCTTTTGCGTGCGTGCCAACGCGCGTGCTTTCTTGTGTGCATGCACACATACAAACGATGCACTGCAAAAGACAGCCATGGCCGCCATTTAGGCCTCCATAGATTGCTACGCGTCTCAGGCAAAGGGATGGCTGCTGATTTGCTCGTTGCCGCGCATCGGGATTTCACGTGGCACCGGAGCCAGAGTTCTTTCCAAGGTTTGCTTCGCTGCGCTAAGCGGTGCTTGTTTCTGTGTACGCATGCCTGTTCGCGTGTGTAATCATATAGCTTAGTTTGTTGCAATTTCACGCAATGTTCTGGAATGTAATGTAACGCAATGTAGCTCAAAGTAACGATATGCAAAGCGCCGGAATGTAACGCAAGCCAATGCAACGCATGTAAATGCGTTTGTGTATATGTGTGTGAAAGTGTCTATGTATGTATAGAGCGTAGTGTATTGTATGTAGTGTAATGTGGCGTCATGTAATGCAATGTAGGGAGTGTGTTGTGGTGTACTGTAGCGTTAGTTTTGCAACGCAGCGCAAATGAATGTAATGTAATGTAATGCAATTTGTGCGTGTGTAGGTACTGGATGCTACTTTATGTAATGTAAAGAAACATACGTCATGTGTGTAATCTGTGAAATGTGTGTAATGTATGTATGATACGTCGCGGTATGTTGTAATGTGTTGGCACTGTATAACTGCATGAAATGCATGTATGTATGTATGTCTGTGTGTCTGTTTGTTTGTTTGTGTGTATGTATGTATGTATGTATGTATGTATGTATGTATGTATGTATGTATGTATGTATGTATGTATGTATGTATGTATGTATGTATGTATGTATGTATATGTATGTATGTATGTATGTATGTATGTAATGTATGTATGTATGTATGTATGTAATGTATGTATGTATGTATGTATGTATGTATGTATGTATGTATGTATGTATGTATGTATGTATGTATGTATGTATGTATGTATGTATGTATGTATGTATGTATGTATGTATGTATGTATGTATGTATGTATGTATGTATGTATGTATGTATGTATGTATGTATGTATGTATGTATGTATGTATGTATGTATGTATGTATGTATGTATGTATGTATGTATGTATGTATGTATGTATGTATGTATGTATGTATGTATGTATGTATGTATGTATGTATGTATGTATGTATGTATGTATGTATGTATGTATGTATGTATGTATGTATGTATGTATGTATGTATGTGTATGTATGTATGTATGTATGTATGTATGTATGTATGTATGTATGTATGTATGTATGTATGTATGTATGTATGTATGTATGTATGTATGTATGTATGTATGTATGTATGTATGTATGTATGTATGTATGTATGTATGTAATGTAATGTAATGTAATGTAATGTAATGTAATGTAATGTAATGTAATGTATGTATGTATGTATGTATGTATGTATGTATGTATGTATGTATGTATGTATGTATGTATGTATGTATGTATGTATGTATGTATGTATGTATGTATGTATGTATGTATGTATGTATGTATGTATGTATGTGTATGTATGTATGTATGTATGTATGTATGTATGTATGTATGTATGTATGTATGTATGTATGTATGTATGTATGTATGTATGTATGTATGTATGTATGTATGTATGTATGTATGTATGTATGTATGTATGTATGTATGTATGTATGTATGTATGTATGTAATGTAATGTAATGTAATGTAATGTAATGTATGTATGTAATGTAATGTATGTATGTATGTATGTATGTATGTATGTATGTATGTATGTATGTATGTATGTATGTATGTATGTATGTATGTATGTATGTATGTATGTATGTATGTATGTATGTAATGTAATGTAATGTATGTATGTATGTATGTATGTATGTATGTATGTATGTATGTATGTATGTATGTATGTATGTATGTATGTATGTATGTATGTATGTATGTATGTATGTATGTATGTATGTATGTATGTATGTATGTAATGTATATGTATGTATGTATGTATGTATGTATGTATGTATGTATGTATGTATGTATGTATGTATGTATGTAATGTATGTATGTATGTATGTATGTATGTATGTATGTATGTATGTATGTATGTATGTATGTATGTATGTATGTATGTATGTATGTATGTATGTATGTATGTATGTATGTATGTATGTATGTATGTATGTATGTATGTATGTATGTATGTATGTATGTATGTATGTATGTATGTATGTATGTAATGTATGTATGTATGTATGTATGTATGTATGTATGTATGTATGTATGTATGTATGTATGTATGTATGTATGTATGTATGTATGTATGTATGTATGTATGTATGTATGTATGTATGTATGTATGTATGTATGTATGTATGTATGTATGTATGTATGTATGTATATGTATGTATGTATGTAATGTATGTATGTATGTATGTATGTATGTATGTATGTATGTATGTATGTATGTATGTATGTATGTATGTATGTATGTATGTATGTATGTATGTATGTATGTATGTATGTATGTATGTATGTATGTATGTATGTATGTATGTATGTATGTATGTATGTATGTATGTATGTATGTATGTATGTATGTATGTATGTATGTATGTATGTATGTATGTATGTATGTATGTATGTATGTATGTATGTATGTATGTATGTATGTATGTATGTATGTATGTATGTATGTATGTATGTATGTATGTATGTATGTATGTATGTATGTATGTATGTATGTATGTATGTATGTATGTATGTATGTATGTATGTATGTATGTATGTATGTATGTATGTATGTATGTATGTATGTATGTATGTATGTATGTATGTATGTATGTATGTATGTATGTATGTATGTATGTATGTATGTATGTATGTATGTATGTATGTATGTATGTATGTATGTATGTATGTATGTATGTATGTATGTATGTATGTATGTATGTATGTATGTATGTATGTATGTATGTATGTATGTATGTATGTATGTATGTATGTATGTATGTATGTATGTATGTATGTATGTATGTATGTATGTATGTATGTATGTATGTATGTATGTATGTATGTATGTATGTATGTATGTATGTATGTATGTATGTATGTATGTATGTATGTATGTATGTATGTATGTATGTATGTATGTATGTATGTATGTATGTATGTATGTATGTATGTATGTATGTAATGTATGTATGTATGTATGTATGTATGTATGTATGTATGTATGTATGTATGTATGTAATGTATGTATGTATGTATGTATGTATGTATGTATGTATGTATGTATGTATGTATGTATGTATGTATGTATGTATGTATGTATGTATGTATGTATGTATGTATGTATGTATGTATGTATGTATGTATGTATGTATGTATGTATGTATGTATGTATGTATGTATGTATGTATGTATGTATGTATGTATGTATGTATGTATGTATGTATGTATGTATGTATGTATGTATGTATGTATGTATGTATGTATGTATGTATGTATGTATGTATGTATGTATGTATGTATGTAATGTATGTATGTATGTATGTATGTATGTATGTATGTATGTATGTATGTATGTATGTATGTATGTATGTATGTATGTATGTATGTATGTATGTATGTATGTATGTATGTATGTATGTATGTATGTATGTATGTATGTATGTATGTATGTATGTATGTATGTATGTATGTATGTATGTATGTATGTATGTATGTATGTATGTATGTATGTATGTATGTATGTATGTATGTATGTATGTATGTATGTATGTATGTATGTATGTATGTATGTATGTATGTATGTATGTATGTATGTATGTATGTATGTATGTATGTATGTATGTATGTATGTATGTATGTATGTATGTATGTATGTATGTATGTATGTATGTATGTATGTATGTATGTATGTATGTATGTATGTATGTATGTATGTATGTATGTATGTATGTAATGTATGTATGTATGTATGTATGTATGTATGTATGTATGTATGTATGTATGTGTCTATGTATGTATTAATGTAATGTAATGTAATGTAATGTAATGTAATGTAATGTAATGTATGTATGTATGTATGTATGTATGTGTGGAATGTATGTATGTATGTATGTATGTATGTATGCATGTATGTATGTATGTATGTATGTATGTATGTATGTATGAATGTATGTATGTATGTATGTATGTAATGTAATGTATGTGATGTATGTATGTAATGTATGTATGTATGTAATGTCATGTATTGTAATGTAATGTAACGTAATGTAATGCAATGTAATGTATGTATGTATGTACTGTATGTATGTATGTATGTAATGTAATGTATGTATGTAATGTAATGTAATGTAATGTAATGTAATGTAATGTAATGTAATGTAATGTAATGTAATGTAATGTAATGTAATGTAATGTAATGTAATGTAATGTAATGTAATGTAATGTAATGTATGTATGTGTGTATATATGTATGTATGTATGTAGGTATGTATGTATGTATGTAGGTAATGTATGTAAGGTAAGGTAACGTAATGTAATACAATGTATGCATGTATGTATGGATGGATGTATGGGTTGTACGTATGCATGGTATGTGCGTATATATGTGTATGTTGCCGGTTATGGAATGTATGGATTGTATGGATTGTATGTATGAATGGAACGTAACGTAACGTAATGTAACATATGTGCGTATGTATGTACGCAATGTATGTACGTGTGTATGTATGTATGTATTTGTGTATGTATGTATGTATGTATGTAATGTAATGTAATGTAATGTAATGCAATGTAATGTAATGTAATGTAATGTAATGTAATGTAATGTAATGTATGTTTGTATGTATGTATGTATGTATGTATGTGTGTGTATGTATGTGTGTGTATGTAATGTATGTATGTAATGTAATGTAATGTATGTATGTATGTAATGTAATGTACTGTACTGTAATGTAATGTAATGTAAGGTAATGTAATGTAATGTAATGTAATGTATGTAATGTAATGTAATGTAATGCAATGTTATGTATGTATGTATGTATGTATGTATATAATTTATGTGTGTATGTATGTATCTATGTATGTAATGTATGTAATGTATGTATGTATGTATGTATGTATGTATGTATGTATGTATGTATCTATGTATGTATCTATGTATGTATCTATGTATGTATCTATGTATGTATCTATGTATGTATGTTTGTATGTATGTAATGTGTGTATGTATGTATGTTTGTATGTGTGTAATGTAATGTAGTGTAGTGTAGTGTAATGTAATGTAATGTAATGCAATGTAATGTAATGTATGTATGTATGTATGTATGTAATCTATGTATGTATGTAATCTATGTATGTATGCATGCATGCATGCATGTATGTATGTATGTATGTATGTATGTAATGTATATATGTATGTAATGTAATGTGTGTATGTAGTGTAATGTAAGGCATGTATGTATGTTTGTTTGTATGTATTAATGTATTAATGTATGAAAATGCAATGTATTATCGAATGTCAGTAAGGAAGTAAGTACGGCAGTAACTCTGTACGTATCTATGTGTGTAATGTATGTACGCATGTGTGCAATGTTATGTTATGTTGTGTATGTGTGTGATGCAAGGCAATGTAGTGCAATGTAATATAATGGCTTGTACTGTAATGTAGTGTAACGTAATATTTTGTAATGTATTGTGTGTGTACTGTGATGTACTGTAATTAACGTAATGCTGTATAATGTGAATGCATGCAAAACTGTAGTGCGACGCAAGGCAACGCAATGCATTGTAATAATGCATGTGCTGAATGTATTTATGCATGTGACTTATGTATGTTTATGTGTAATGTAATGCAATGCAATGTAATGTAAGGTATGTATGTACGTATGCATGCATGCATACATGTATTTATGTATGTATGTAATGTAATGTAATGTAATGTAATGTAATGTAATGTAATGTAATGTAATGTAATGTAATGTAATGTAATGTAATGTAATGTAATGTATGTATGTATGTATGTATGTACGCTACGTACACACTACACATACATTGCACTACATCACATGACATTGCGTTGCACTGCACCACATGCATACATACATGTATACATAAAGGACGTATGTTTGTATGTGTGCATGTGTGTATGTGTGTTTGTCTGTATGTATGAATGTATATTCGTTTGCGCTTCAAAGGCGCACCTTTTTGACTTGGTTTGAGCTTCACCGCTGGACACTGGAACCTGGTCCATTGTCAGTTCCATACACCTCGAAGGGCCGAGCGGAGGTCATGATGTGTCGTTCTGACTCCTGGTTAAGTAAGAAAAGAGCATGACATTGAGCCCCAGCTTTGGCAGAGTCAATCAGGTGACTGTTAGTGAACACCATGGTTAGATGCAATCACGTTCATGCATTCGGGTGAGCCAGAAGCCCAGGGCTTGCAAGGCTTGGCAGATTTGCCAGGTCATTTCGGATGGCACCTTATGGTACAGCACCTCAGCCAAGAGCGCGGCTCATCTGCAGGAGCCAGCTGTTAGAGTCAGGGGAAGTGGCTTTGACCTAGGCAGATATTCCCTTTCCATTTCCGTACCAGAACTTTGTCGAGGCAGGGAATGGACATCAGCAGCTGGCCGTTCCCTTTGCATTTGGGATGGAAGCTCTTCAAAGCCAACATCAACCGTAGCTCTTGCGTGGACTGCAGGCAAATCCAGACGACATTCGTGTCATGTCCCACAGTTGAAGGATGGCGGAAAATGACCAGGGACCAGGCAGAAGACAAGAGCAGAGCTTTTTATGGCAGAGACAAAGCTAATGAGCCTGCAGGTGATGGTGTGGCTCTTCTCCTTCTTGGCACCAGTGGTCATCAACGGCATGGTGTTCGACCAAGTGGCCAGGAGTGGATGCCGCCACCAAGGCAAAATTGACACGGGAAGTTGGCGAAATGCCAGGCTCAGGCTGCAGAATTGTTCTCTTTCAAAGTTCAGTTTGCCGCGGTGAGGGTGGTTGATGCTGGCTGCTTGGGCAAGCACCACATGAAGTGTGACAAAGCAGGAACGCGTGAGATTGTTGCTATTGACATGGACACCGTCTTGAGTCCAGTCAGCAACTTAGCTAAGCGACACGGCTGAGACTCATTGAAGCCCAAGAGCTCGTGGCTGATTTGGCTAGAGCGGAGGACCGTGGGTACCTTTTGCGTGGTGCTCACCTACCATGCGATCAAGAACACTGGAGATGTTCTGGAGGCCTGCGACTGACTGAAGACTGACTCGAAGCTTTGCAATTTGATCTAACTACACTGGATGCTCAGCTTCGGGCAGTTTGCAAAGCAGAGCACACTTGAAGACATGCGTGGCTGATTCGGGCTTGCCCGAGAGAGTTTGTTTTGACCTTCACGTGAACAGCCTCTTGCGCAAAGCGCTTGTTGTCCTTGTCAGCATGCAGGATCCTTATCTTCCCTACGATCCCAATGCATCTTTGGCGGCATGGTGTGTTTTCCCATCACATCATTCCCACCCAACTTTGACAGCCTAAAGTCCAGTGACAGTTCTAGTGCGTGATTAAATGGCCAGGTCCGAGAAATTGGGTGATGCTTGGTTTGGATCCTTGCCATTCTGCAGGAACAGCTTGCTGTGAGCCTAGACAAAAAACGGCAGTTTTACAGCTTGATACTATTCTTAGCACCTTCCAACTTCGCAGCGCCAACATCTAACTCGTGCAGACGCCATGTCGAGTGACTCAGCTTTTGGAAAGCCTCGCGTAGCCAGTTGGCCCAACTGCGGATCCCAAGCGCCGAAAGCGAAATGAGACGCAGCCAAGGACTTACCTCTGGTGAATCTGCAGCGCTCGCTGAATCAGCGACTCCTCTCTTTGGGGGTTGTGCCCAGCGCACCAGGCGCGGACGAGAGAGGTGTTGATGACAGAGGTGACACTCAATCTTGCTCAGGGTTGTGGGATCAAGGGGTGTATCCCCTCTTCTGGGATACAAGGGAATCTCCCCCTTTATATGGGGGTTAGTGTTTGGGAAGCCCTTTCTGTTGTATCACAGAAGTGGTCATTTCCCACAGCCCTGATCTTGCTGGTTCTCACAGCCATTCGGCAGAACGCGTCCCTGCATCGACGGTATTTTTTTTATATTTAGTTTTTAAGAAAGCATGATGAAACTCAGCGCCTTGTGCAGCGCTAACCTTGTTACCCACTGTCACCTTTGACTCACCACCACTACCTTACTTGATTGTGGTGCCTTTGTATTCTTTGCCCAATGCCAATGCGTGTGTGGGGGGTGGTGCTCAATCTGGATCCAGGACGTGGTGACTCTTGTGCGCATTGTTCACCGCAGAGAGATTCCCATGTTGAGCAAAGATGCATGAGGGCGGCATGAAGACGACCGAGGACATCATGTCAAGATGTTGGAAGACTCAGGAAAAGCCAACGTTAGGAAAACATCCAGCAGGTCCTTCCTGCTTTGGTGCGCCCATACAATGTACAAAAAAGCACTGCAATGTAGTTTATTCCGAGCTAAATTCACGTGGACCTGCATTGTGCAGTATTGCCGGCCTGCTGCTTCATGCATCGCTGCACATCCGCATAGGCATCGCATGCTGTCCTTGCCTTGTCATGCATTGTCACACATAGTCATGCGTTGTCATGCATCATGACACAGTGACACACCACATCAGTGTTGCTCGCTGTCACGGCGTTGCCATCGCCTTCTGCATGGTTCCGCATTGTCACACCGCCTCGCTCTGAAGTCAACCCCTTTTGCCGCCGACACTGCGACCTGTGTGTGTGTGTGTATGTGTGCATGTGATATTGCATTCACATTTCAAGTGGTATGTTGGCAGAATGTGCAGGGCGGTGTAGTTGTGCTGCCGCGTATGATGCATTTCTAGATTAGTTGATGGATCATGAATGAGAAATTGGTGTCAATGATACTCATTGCTTATGTACTGAGGTCCATCATCGTGTCCATCACCAAAGCTGGATAGTTTGGAGGCTGGGAAGCCGGTCAGCTTGCTCTATCACTCCGGCTACACGCCAAGAGCGGACCCATGGTCACCCTGGCTCAACGTGTTTATGTTCTGTCCCACCAGGCTCGGGGCGAGCATCTCAGGGCATTCTTGTTCCAACCAGCATTACTGTCCGCAAGCTAGGAAGGCCACTCCAATTCCAGCTCCAACTCGCTTGTGTTTTTTTTTCTTTTGGTGGGGGGATGAATTTTATGACACAAATATGTCTGGTCGTATTCGGCAGACTCGTCGCGCTGCTTGCAGCGCTTGCAGGCCGTGGACGTGGTGCTGGCGGCAGAAATGAGGGAGCCAGTCCAGGCGAGTCTCTCCAATGCGTCTGGCACATGGGTCGACAAATATTTCGTTCGGCCCCAACATGACCATGGGCATGTGGTGAAAGTCGTCTTTTGTGGTGGAACGAAGTTTCTCAAACTCAACCAAAAATTGGTTATTTGTTGTATTTGTGTGTTAAAATGTTCACTCATGATGGTTTTTGGTCTTGGTCTTCTTTTTCTCTTTCCCCAATGGTCACCCCATGAAGACCGCAGCTTTTGATCAACCCCCATATGGAAGGTATCGAAGAAAGTCCAGGCACCAAAGACGCACAAGGCGCGGAGTGCAATGGCAAAGCTTGGATGCATGTATCAGGCTTCAGTGAGTCTTGTTCACTGGACCCAACGTGTTTTTGATTTGGCTGTGGGTCAAAAATAGGTACCACAAATGGAACCCTGCTAAATGGAAAGAAGGACTAAAACCTGCGGTCCCCTGGTGGTTTAATTTTGACCCATACCCATTTGTGCTTGTCCTGACAGCAATGAGGCCAACTCGAGCAATTCGGTTTCTGCCTGCCTGGGCTGCATACCCGCCACGCGTCGGCAAGTTTCCATGGGACAATATTGCCATGCTACGAATGACTTGGGGAAGGCGAGGCACAATATTTTATAGTATTCCCCCACTTTGGATCGTTCGACAAGGGTCTCCCAATTTGAAGACAGACCCATACAGAGAATACACATCCAGAATGCTCAGTGAATCCAGAGCTTTGCCTTGTATGTGTTTGGTAGATTATGCCGTTGGGCGAAAGCCGTTCAAACAACCAGCAGTTGTTTGTAGGAAACCACGAGGGGATTCACAACACCATGTCTGTGACTTCGGGCAGCTCTTTGCTGCAAGGTCACCTTTGGCTTTGCTCATCTTCAAGCTGCCAACTTCAAGTGAGGGCTTCAGTGCGTCTTGTCAAAGTGCGAGTGAGAAGATCCTGGCAAGCCGCCGTTGCTTGCAGTTGCGTCGATTGGCAAAGCCAGAGCAGCTTTCACGCTGGCATGCCTAAGGCAACCAGCATCAGGTTTAGGTGTTCAGCCGTCAACATCGACAGTAGCCGTGCTGCGCTTGAGAAATGCTTGCTTCGGGCCGGCAGCTGTCATGCACGAGAACTGTGACGGACGATCAGATTGATCAGTGTCCAATTGTCAACAAAATGCAATTTAGGGTTACAAGGAGTCTTCCTGGTTGTTGGCAACCTCTTATTCTTGTTGTAGCCAGGCTTATCTCCGGAAATTCCTCTTCATGTTTCTTAACATTCTAGCTCGGGATCGTTTCCTCTCAGTTTTCTACTCGGTTTGTTGCGTTGGGCGAAATACTGCTCGAACTGATAGGTTTGAACGCCATGGTGTTGCCCGTTCAGGTAGTGGTCACAGCGCAATGCTCCTCATCAGCTCAGGCCAGCGATTTCGTTGCGCGCCGTGGTTGGCTGCTGCGTGCCACGTATCCTGTCAGGTGCAAGTTTTGGCAGGCTGGGAGCCGGAGGCTGTTTTCCCTTGACTTGGTCATTTGCTGGAGGCTCTAAAGCGTGTGGCTGGCTGCCGGAGTCTTGGCTGCGACCACTTCCAGCACCTGCTGTCGCAGGCGAGCATTTTGTCGCCAGTTTGATCAAGCAAGTTGCACTGCTGGGCTTTTGGCGTAATCCGCAGCATTCGGGTCAGCAGACAACATGCTGAGACTGGGATGTTTGACTGAAACCATGATGGAAGCTCAGTTTTGTCACGGGACCAGGCTCAGAATAGGCCCAGCACACCAACGACATGTACAAGACAAGACCATAATCTTTGTCCACGTGTCCAAGACAGCTCTCAGCTTCGAAAGCATGTCCCGTGGCCCTGGACCTGAACTTGGAGTCTTGGACTCATGGACCTAGCACTTTGGACCGGAGACACGGGGTAGCTTGAACCAAGAACTGTATCTTTTAAGGCAACACAGCAACGAAGTGTCTCACACAACTCCGATGCGCTTTCCCTTGTGTCTTGTGACAAACCAGAATTCCAGGAGCACGGCTTTGACAGAAAGTTGGATGCACATGGGCAGGCAGATGCTCTTCCTGCAAGCAAGTCCTATGCCAGGAGACTGCTGAAACTGCATGCCCTGAAGTGTTTGCCCACAATTCTAGGGGTACCTTCCATTTCCATTCTTTCCAGGGATCCTTCTTTTCAGGAAACCATCAAAAACCCAGGGAAACAGCCGGTTTTTCAAAAGAACCATGGTTGAAAAGAATGGGGAATCAATTTCTAGAACAAGGGCTGGGAATGCACTTGCCATACAATATGAGCACGTCTACAAACCCGCCTTTAAGTATCAAGCAAGAGTTGCTTGTGCTGTGAGAGGGCAGCGTGTAAGCACAACCCGCGTAAGCCGACGCAAGCATGTTTCGAGGACATGCTGCATAAGCACCCGCGTCATGCTTTGTGACCGCGGCGTTTTGGTTGAACGCCAAGGGCTCAGCCCCGGCCCTGATCTTGAGCTGCTCCGTTCCGCAAGTTGTTTCTGACCGCCCTCGACATCTCAGGCCTGCCATCCACATGGGGAAACACCCATCTTTTCGAGTGAACCTTGATCTCTTTGATTCTGCTCGCCCAAGCCCCAAGACTGCAGCTCACGGCTGCCCGCTCGCCAAGGAAATGGAGGAGAAGCTGTCGGCCAAGTCCCAAGCGCGGGTCAGGCAGCAAAGCGTAGACGCCGAAAAGAAGAACAGCGCCAAGCTGACCAAAGATCTTGATTAGCTCTGCATAGAGAAGAAGCCCGCGTAAGCAACTCCTCCGCAGAAACGCTCAAAACGCTCGCTCGCAAGGGAAGTGTGAGCTTGTCATGCTTGCTGACTGCCGTGCAAGCTAAAAGCTGGGAAGCGTAAGAAAGCCATGGCTCGCGCGCAAGCATCCTTTCGTAGCGTAGCCAAGCTGACTGCCATGCGCTTGTTGTGTCAAGAAATCGGGCCGTTACGTGTGACTCGTTCATGAGGTGCAGTGCCTGTTTGGCCCAGACAATCAAAAAGCCGCCTTTAAAACCCACACAAAAGACGGTTCCCCAAAAAGGACAGACCCATTTGTCCAGCATCTCACCATTTGTGCGAGAGGACGCCTTCACCCGCAGTGCTCGCAGGAAGCTGAGGCCAGCCTTCCACTGTGAGGAAGGTGAAGAGTGAATGAGAGCTAGAAGTTACTTGCTGGTTCTCGGCAGGGAATGAGAAATGGAATGACCCATATGTACCATCAGGAAGGGGACCCCTGGGTTCATTCCCAAAACACATGAACCTGGGGATTCCCTCGAAGGAAAACATAGGGGATGGTTTATAGGGGTCATTCCCTTATTCCCTGCTGAGCACCAGCAAGGTTAAGGTCAAATCCACGTGAATGACCAAATCTGATCCGCCGCATATTGGAAAAGTCCTTGTTCGACCTGACTGCAGATGGTTTAGGGTTCTGTTACGATGATGTCTAAATTGCAGCAACTTGGCAGAAAGCCTCCATGTCCAGTTCTCAGGTCTAGCCTCTTAAGTCAAGCAGCTGATACGAAACGCTCAAAATCATGTTGGACCCCCGCAAATATCTATAGACCCCCCCGTAATTCATAAAGTACAGCGCTGGGGGTGGGCCCCCCTAGCTGTTGGGGGTTGATCAGGGAGATGCGTGTTTAATTTGGCTGTGTCAGGTCAGGTGCACCAGCAGTGTGCGAAACCTGCACTGCAGCAGACAATCGATGGCGAGTGAGGACTGCATGTCAGTGATTCCATTCATTCAAGCTGTAGGCGTCAAGCGAATATATCGGTTGTTGATGAGCTCAGATGAGAGATTCATACCATTCTGTAGAAAGCCTGCTAAGCGCGCCTAGATTGTGCCTCAGCCGCCGTTTGTAAGAAGTGTCAAAAACAACTTGAGTGCCAGCATAAGCACTGCTCTTGCAGGAAGGAAGCATGGTGCACAAGACTCTGCCAACTTTCCGACAGCCTCAATGAGGGTTCCGGAAGCATACGCACATCTCCGTGGCCACATGCTCAGCATTTCCTGAGCTGCAACACATGGCTGTGGGTCAAAACCAATGGTACCATTTTGGGATAGGTGCACCACACCATTTTAGTCTATTTTAGTGGTTGGATTGGGATGTTCACTGGGGGTACGGAGTTTTGACCCATGGCCACCTGTCTACGCTGCTTTTTGTCGCAGGTTCGTGGTCACCTCCACTGCTGGTGCTGCTGTGGTGTACGCCTGCCTGCGAAGTGGGAGGCTTAGTCCGTTTACAAGCTCGCCTGTTCCTTGGAACAGCGCTTTCCCCTACAACGGTTGTAGCAATCCGCAACTTCTGAACTACATGTTGGGTTTAGTAGCATGACGGACCAGTCATGTTTCAGCAAGACATGAAGCTGCAAAATGATTAGCGGCTCACCAACTGCTTCACAACCAAACAAAGACAAGAGTACAACACGACCAAGGCAAGCAAGAGGTGAAGAGCACCAAAATTCAGCAAGAGTCCTCGGCAACACGCGTGTCCTTCATGTTTGTGGAGAAAGCAGACTGTGCAGATTTACGTATTGTACGCCGATAAGAAGGGCATACCCACAGCTAAGAGCCATGTTGCCTCAAAGTGTGACTTTCGCGGCATTCCTTCCTCGCTTCACCTCGCCTCCGGCATCATTGTACTATGCAGATGTAGGCGACTGCCTATCCCGACTACACGCAACATCCAGCCTTTTACGTAGTGAGGCTGAGTCTTGATGTCGGTGCCCGACTCAGGAGATTCTCTCTCTGCAGCTGCTTTCGTAGGGTGTGACACTCAGGATGCAAGCTTGTATGCACATGCAAACTCGATGTACGAAGGTCCATCATTGCTGCGCCTGCCGGCCTGTTGGATGATTCGGGCGAAATGTGTTTTAAATATGTGTGTGTGTGTGCGTTCACATGCTTGCAAGCGGTGCTCGAGCAACACTTTATTTTTTGCTGTTGGAGCTATGGATGGGGCCTCGTTCATACAGTCTGTTGAACAGGGCAAGTTGCTGGCGCGGTCCAACGCGGTAGCTGCGGCGAAGTTGTTAAACAAAGCGTCCTTGGCGGGACTCTCCTGTAGTTTGCCCAGCAAGCGCACACTGATGAAGTTCGCGCGTGGCGAACCTTCTGCGCACTGCCTCCCGCTCAGGCGGGGGAAGAACTCCACCTGCGAGATGATCAAAAAGACGCGCTCAGACGGCGTCGGCTAAGAGCGCGGCTCTTCAGTTTCAGTGCCTAGGGCGCCGGGGAACACGCGACGCGCAGCTGTCCTCGCCGCCGTCCAGCTGTCCTTCGCTTTCTGCTCAGAGTCTTCGCTCCTATGAGGGGCACTCGCCGTCCAACAAAGACCTAACCAGCATACTGTGATGCGGCACCACGTGATATTGAGTGGGTTTGGCTCCCAAGGCTGCGCGTGGCGGGAAAGGACTCGTGTTGTCTGGTCCGTGTTGAACTGCAAAGAAGATGAGCCGAAACTTATCGAGCCCAACCTGAATCAACCAAATTAGAGCAAACCAAATTGGAGCACTCCACCTTTGTGGGGATATGAGTGTGTGTGTGTGCATGCATGTGTGGGCTTGCGCACGCCTGTGTGTATGTGTGTTTGCGCGTAGATGCGGCCAGGCTTGGGTGTTGAAGCATTGGTTGCTGCGGCGCAGCAGCCTGATTTCGAAGCCAGCCAGAGAGAGCAGGAGGGCACAGAGAGTGTTCTTGGTTTGGCCACACCCTTGGGTGCCAAATTCTTGTCCGCGGCAAGAGAATTTAGCAGACCAGGCTTGGGCGGCTTTGAGGGTGAGCGGCTGCCTCACTGCCGCTGCGACTGAAGCATGTCGGTTCAGCTTGTGACACATGATGGGTGAATGCCGATGCTTTCTGGTCGGTGCTGCAATGAATGCTGCGACTGTAGACTCA